ATAAAGAATACCCACTTGTCAACTTAAACTTTGTTGGGGAGTTCCTGGAGGTTTCTCCGAATCAGTTGGAAAATAAGTATTGAGCTACGTAAATTTGTGAAAATCCCTTTAGGCTCAGTACTTTTTCCTTCAGCTTCATGACAGCCTTGATTATGTTCTGCAAGAAACACCTTAAGAACTTGAAAGGCAGAGTTTGTTTTGTTGCTAATTACATTTTCAGAATTCCTGTAGTTTCCATAATACAGGACTCTCTGCAAATGATCTGCCATATTTGAAAACTTCCATGGAAATGTAAATGTGTCTGTCTCCTTCCCCCCCCCCCCCCCCCCGAGCAGCTATTGGCTTTATGTGAAGCTGGTATTCAAAGCAGCAATGCCAGTGTTAGAGTGAATCCTTTGAATTTCTGGCAGCATCCTGACAAAAGGACAAGATACAGCTGAAACACTAAAAGTGAAAAAGCAAAACTGGCATTGCAAGCTTAAACCAGTGTCCTGGGTTCAGCTACAGCAGTCATTTTTCTCCTTCTTAGTAGCTGGTGCAGTGCTGTGGTTTTGACTTTCAGCCTGGGAACAATGGTGATAATACCAATGTTTTTAGTTGTTGCTAAGTAATGTTTACTCTGACTAAGGACTTTCTGAGTCTCATGCTCTCCCAGGGAGGAGGTGAAGCCGGGAGGAAGCAGAGACAGGACACCTGACCCAAACTGACCAAAGAGGTATTCCATACCACAGCACGTCATGACCAGTATAGAAACTGGGTGAAGTTACCCGGAAGGCCCAGATCGCTGCTCAGGTTGGGCTGGGTATTCAATGGCAGGTTGTGAGCAGCTGTATTCTCTTGTTATTTCCCTCATCATTATTATTTTTTGTGGTAGCAGTAGTGGTTTTGTGTTATGCCTTAGTTACTGGACTGTTCTTATCTCAACCCGTGGGAGTTACATTCTTCTGATTCTGTTCCCCATCCCTCCAGGAGCGGGGGGGGGGGGTTGGGGGGGGGGGGAGTGAGCGAGCGGCTGTGTGGTTCTGTGTTACCTTAAACCACAACAACCAATTTTGATACTTCTTTCAATTTTCTTAAGCATTGCTGGAAAAACAGGTTTTTCTTTCTTATTTCAGATGATTGGAAAAAATCTTCCTGATGGTACTATGAAGCAGTCTTCTCTTGTGGTAGCAGGGGAAGCTTTGGATGCGCTTTTTTATGTACTTGCAGATGGCAAAGAACCAGAAAAGGTGGTGGTACAGATCAAGTTGCTTCCAGCACTGAAAGAACTTCAGTCAGTGTTCAAAATGAGGGTAGGCATCAAATGCAGCCAGCTCAGTGTCTCAACACACAGTGTGGGTTAAAGCTTTAAGCAGTAATGTATGGCTTTATAGGATGACCAAAACAAAAAGACCAAACAGTGACCCCAAATAACTGAATTCCTGATATTTCTCTTTAGAGGAAAGCAAATACACCTGAAGTTCATGGAACCATCAAGATAACAGCACAGCATCTGCATTGCAACATCTGTATTACTGATGTCCAAATCACTGTATTGTTCTGAAACCCTTGTGAAAAAACTCCTGCAAATGTCTCTGGAGGAGAACAGCTAAATTGGTGGGAGAGAAGTCCCTTCTGAAGTTACATCTTTTGGTTTTAACTTGCTGTAGTTACTGGTGGACATTTTTGTTCTGATATTGGTTAATTAAAATAGATCAAGTATTCTGTATGCCGTGGTTTAAGCACAGCTGGTAACTCAGAACCACGCAACTGCTCGCTCACTCCCCCACTTCGTCCTCCCCCCACTCCCAGAGGGATGGGGAGCAGAATCAAAAGAATGTAACTCCCATGGGTTGAGATAAGAACAGTCCAGTAACTGAGGTATAATACAAAACCACTACTACCACCACCAATAATAATAATGATAAGGGAAATAACAAGGTGAGAGCATACTATTGCTCACCACCTGCCAACCAATACCCAGCCCAACCTGAGCAGCGATCTGGGCCTTCCGGGTAACTCCACCCAGTTTATATAGTGGTACTCTATTACGGAATACCCCCACCACAGCTAACCTCCCAGAAGAGCTCTTTAATACCATTACACCCAAATAACTTAATTCATAAAGAATACCTTATAGAAGATGGTCCTTGTCTGTTCCCGCAGTGATCCAAATGAGTCGAGGGGTCCCTCCGGGAAATATTCCTGAGGGCCCTAGGGAGCCCTTTCCTCAACGGTTCCTGCAGCCGAGCAGAGAGGGTCCCACCTGGGTCGTGAGACAAGGGGGGGCACGAAATTACAAAATGGGATATAGAAATCTTTAGAAGTAGCTCTAAGTAGTGTTAAGTTTGATGGCTTTGTAACAGTAGCAATGGAAAATTACTGAGGTGCAGGGTACATAGAGAAAAATATATAAAGAGAGTGCAGCTAGAGAACATACTGAGAATTCTCACAAGATAAATCGTTATAGTTGACATAGCTTTAAGAAAAAACAGCCTAGAAAAACAGGACACAGGGATAAGGAGTATCTGGAAACTGCAGGTGTCCAGGATGGGCTACAGTTGAAATAACTGATAAGTAGGAGGATGGGAGGATTATTATGTCTCTGGTGCTAACGAACCAATTAAACTGGTATGAGCATCTACTGCACGTGCTTCAAAGGCTGCCAGAAGGGATGAAGATTGTTGGAAGAAGTAAACGACCCTCAGAGACCACCACCACAATTCTGTACGCATGCGGGGAACTTTCTGAAAAGTGATGTAATCCATATGTAACCTCATGAATATGTATGTATGCCCAGGGGCTATAAAAGGACGGCTTGTGTGGCAACTGGGGAGATACATGCTAGGTGGAGCTATCCCCCGTGTTTCCCGGCGCCGTAATAAAGAACACCTGCTTGTCAGCTTGAAAACTTTGTTGGCAAGTTTGTTCCTGGAGTTTTCTCCGAATCAGTCGCCAGATTGATTTGTAGAAAAAAACTCCAGGAACTCGCCAACAAAGTTTAAGTTGACAAGCAGGTATTCTTTATTGCGGCACTGGGAGATACGGGGGATAGCTCCTCCTAGCGTGTCTCACTCAAGCACCAAACAGGCAGTGATTATATTGTCACTAAACATATTAATTACATTATATGCATATTCATAAAGCTACAGGTACATTATGTCATACTTCTAGAAAATTCTTCCTGCATGCACAGAGTAATGTGGTAGTGCTCTTTGGGACCCCTGGTGGCTGTTTCTTCATCATCTTCTTCATCGCTTCATCCTTTGGGTGAACTTTGGAGCTGGACGGTCTCGTTGTCTGTTTGCCAGCTCCTTAGTTGGTTCTAACTGGTCTCCTTAAAAAATAACTGAAAAGCCTTCTTCCTTATCACTGTTACAAAGTCCACCTGGGGTCCAAGTCTCTTAGTTACATTCTATTTACAATGGGCTATCCTTAATCTTGTCAAGAGTTCTTCATCTCAAAACCCCCCTGCCTCACCCCAGACCATGTCACTCAAGGCTCTGTCTAACCTGGCCTTGAGCACTGTCAGGGATGGAGCATTTACCACTTCTTTGGGCAACCTGTTCCAGTGCCTCACCACTCCCACAGTAAAGAACTTCTTCCTTATATCCAACTTGAACTTCCCCTGTTTAAGTTTGAACCTGTTACCCCTTGTCCTATCACTACAGTCTCTGATGAGGAGTCCCTCTCCAGCATCCTTGTAGCCCTCTTCAGATACTGGAAGGCTGCTCTGAGGTCTCCATGCAGCCTTCTCTTCTCCAGGCTGAACAGACCCAACTTTCTCAGCCTGTCTTCATATGGGAGGTGCTCCAGCCCCCTGATCATCCTTGTGGCCCTCCTCTGGACTTGCTCCAACAGCTCCATGCCCTTCTTGTGTTGAGGACACCAGAACTGCACACAATACTCACAAGAGTATTGTGTGGGGTCTCACAAGAGCAAAGCAGAGGGGCAGGATCACCTCCTTCAACCTGCTGGTCACACTTCTTTTGATGCAGCCCAGGATACGGTTGGCTTTCTGGGCTATGAGATGGCACACTGAAGCCAGCTCATGTTCATTTTCTCATCGACCTACACCCCCAAATCCTTCTCTGCAAGGCTGCTCTGAATCTGTTCTCTGCCCAACCTGTAGCTGTGTCTGGGATTGCTTCAACCCAGGTGTAGGACCTTACGCTTTCTATTGCTGAATTTCACATGAGGTTGGCATTGGCCCACCTCTCAAATGTGTCATGGTCTCTCTGGATGGCATCCCCTTCCCTCCAGCACATCAACCAAACCACACAGCTTAGTGTTATCAGCAAACTTGCTGAGGGTGCATCAATCCTGCTGTCCATGTTGCAGACAAAAATGTTGAACACCGACCCATGAGGGACACCACTCATTACCCGTCGCCAGCTGGACATTGGACCGTTAACCACAACTATCTGCGTGCAGCCAGCCAGCCAGCCAATTTTTTATCGGATGGTCCATCCATCGAACTAGGACGATTCCGCCGGAAGAGATGCCACCGCTGTGGCCCGAGAGCCGCCCAGTCCCGCCCGGCAGGTGCCAGGCCGGGGCAGAGCCGGCGCCCGCCTGGGGCTCCGCCCGGGCCCAGCCACCACCCCCTTGCCTGCGCGCGGCCCGTGTGCCGACGGCCCAGCCGGGCCCCGCCTCGCCGCGCTCGCCAGGAGGGGCGGGAGCTGTGGAGCGACGACAGCGGGCAGGCAGGCGCGGAGCTGCCCTTCCATAAGAGCCGCCATTAGCTGTGGGACCCCGTGACAGGGTCTCAGTTTAGGCGGCTGACGGGGAGTGAAGGTAGCCGGGGTGGATCCCCGTTTGATGGATCCCCGGATAGCCTGGTTCCAGCCAGAGCAGCTTGGTCCCTCGAACCGCCTGTGGATGCAGATCTGGGAAACTACGCAGGGGGTCCGCAATCTCTACTTCCATCAGCAGCAGCAGCAGCAGAGCGCCCCCGCTGGGGCCGGCCCGGTCTCCCCGCCCAGCATGTACCGCGCTGATCCCCAGCCCGACTTCCTGCAGCTCGAGGGCGCCAACAACCAGCAGAACCGGAGTCAGCACCGGACCTCGCTGTCCCTGGGGGCTGCTGCCTGGGCCCGGCCCGCACAGGTCGAGCCGTCTGCCGCCACGGCCGCCAGCAACAAGAGGAAACGCGACAACAAGGCCAGCACCTTCGGCCTTAACTACAGCCTCCTGCTGAGGCCTCCTGGGCAGGGCCGGGCCCTCGCCCTAGGAAATGAGCCGGCCGCCCGGGCCCAGGCCGGCCTGGCCGAGTCGCTCTACATCGGCACCCCTTGGAAGAAGAGGAACTACAGCCAAGGAGTCATGGGGTGAGCGGCCGGAGCGCCAAGCAGGCGAGGGGGTGCCGGGCAACTGCCAGCGCCAGGCTTGAACCTGGCCAGGCCTCTTGAAGAGGTGCGAGCTGAGGCCCTCCCAGCACGGGATGGCCGCTGGGTCGCGGCGGTGGGGCGTGGCCACAGGAACGGCGGGTGTCGCGAGGTATCTGGATCGGGCCCATAGGTCGCCGCCGGCAGGGGCAGGTAGGGGCCACGTGTGCCGGGCCGCTGCCCGGCCCGCCCGTGCGCTGCGTCAACGGGCCCCGCTGATGCCTGTCGTGCAGCCCCCGAGCCCGGCTGGGCAGTGACTCTTCGTGGAGGGGGTAGCGGATGCCCAGGTGCGTGCTGATGGGGTGGGCAAGCCTGTCTGTAGGCTTTCCTGTTGTCACTGCGTGTGTACGTGGGGCTGTTAGGCGCTCATCGCCCGGTATCACGCCTTGCTGCCCGGGCAAGGGTGTTCCGTTCCTCTTTTTGCGGTTATTGTACCGCATGCGGTACATGTATTGCGGTGGTGGTGTCGGTGAGGGGTCTGATGCCATTGCTGCTCACGTGCATGCTGCGGGGCTGGGTGAGGTGGCTGAGCTGGGGAGGACAGCAGACAGCCAGCTATCAGAGGTGCAAGTCCTGCTCTTGGCAGCCGCTGCCAGGCACGCTTCTGAAGCTTTGTGCTATATGTAGAACTAATGCATAATAGGAGTTATAACTTAGAAGAATAATAATCTGCTGCTGTTAAAAGAGTGCATAGTCTAGGAAATAAGATGGGGAGTGTGTTTTTTCGAAGACCGAACAGAGAAACTAGGCACACATAATTATATAGTGTTACGGATTATGTCGTGGTTTAAGCCCAGCCGGTGACTCAGAACAATGCAGCTACTCGCTCACTTCCCCCCCCCCCCCCCGCTTCACTCTGCTCTGAGAGGGATGGGGAGGAAAATTAAAAGAATGTAAATCCCACAGGTTGAGATAAGAATAGTCCAGTAACTAAGGTATAATAAAAAGCTAAAAAACTACTATTACTGTCAATAATGATAATAAGGGAAATAACAAGGGGAGAGAACATAAAACTAAAAGTGGAAAGGTGTGTGTGGGGGATAAATACAAGTGATGCACAACACAGTTGCTGACCACCCGTTGACTGATACCCAGCTCGACCCGAGCAGTGATCTGGGCCTTCTAGGTAACTCTCCGGTTTATATACTGGGCATGAAGTGCTGTGGTATGGAATACCCCTTTGGCTAGATTGGGTCAGGTGTCCTGACTGCTCCCTCCTGACTTCTCATGCCCCTCCTCCCTGGAAGAGCATGAGACTGAAAAGTCCTTGACTGTGGTAAACATTAGTTAGCAACAACTAAAAACATCGGTGTGTTATCAGCGTTGTTCTCAGACTACGGTCGAAACCACAGCACTGCACCAGCTACTAAGGAGAAAAGTGATTGCTACAGCTGAACCCAGGACACCATGTTACCCACCAAGTATATCCAGGTCCCTGAGCAAAAGCAGTCCCACAAGTGGGTTTGCCTTTACCTGAAGCAGGAATAACCCAGGCTGTCTTCCCCAGCAAATTCTTTATGTGAAGCACAGGAACTTTATCCCCTTCTACAGTATGTAAAAGTTCTGATTGGGCTGGGCCAGCCCTGTTGGCAGATCCCCTAGTGTTGACCAACCAGGTGGCTTTTGGTAAATGTGTTTCCCAAAGTTTGAAAGTCCCACCACCCACTGCTCTCAGTGTAGTCTGACTCAATTCTCTCTGGGGTGCCGTGTCACCACAAGATCTGTTTTTCAAGGTGCAGGATAGCGTTCCAGGCAGTGATGTGAGGCACAGCCCATGTTTCCAGTCATCTGGTGGTTGCTTCCACCATGGTAAGCACATGGCACTCGCCTTGGCAGGTTGGTGGGAGTGTGATATAGTCAATCTGCTAGGTCTGCCCATATTTGTACTTCATCCATCGTCCTCCATTCCAGAGAGGCTTTAACCACTTGGCTTGCTTAATTGCAGCACGTTTCACAGTCATGAATAACCTGGGCAATATTGTCCATTGTCAAGTCCACCCCCCTCAGTCACAAGCCCATGTGTATGTTGCATCTCTGCCTTGGTGGCCTGAGGTGTCATGCGCCCATCAGGCTAAAAATAATTCCCCCTTATGTTGCCAACCTAAATCTATCTGAACCACTTCAGTCTTAGAAGCTTTATCCACCTGTTGGTTGTTCTAGTGTTCCTCAGTGGCCTGACTCTTGGGTACGTGAGTATCTACATGGTGTACCTTCGCCACCAGGTTCTGCACAGTCTAGCAATATCGGGACTTCAGATACAGTACAGCCTTAGTTGGTAAGATACAAGTATATTTAAGACAAATTGTTAAATATTAAAATCTGGAAAGAGCAGTGTTGTGAACCAGATGACACTAGGAGCTATGTATTCCCACAATGGAAGTGGCTGGTGCACTATATATGCAGTCTGACAAATGTGATCCTTGATGTAGTTGCATTTCTTAAAAAGCAAGACCACTTTTCTCCCAGACAGACAGTCTTTCTGCAAGCCTTTAACCAATTCCAAAAAGAATGATCAGGAGACAAGGACAGCTGTAATGAGCAAGTGTGCTGATAAAACATCATGGGAATGGTAAAAGTTCCTTTCAGTACTGTTTATGAGAATGAAAAAAATCCATACAGCAAGTATTACTTCTTTTCCTGAACATTGGCATCCATCTTATTTACAAAAGCTTATAAAGACACACAACGCAAAAGGTTTGATTTTTCAAGTTCGACTTCATAACCGATTAACATAATTCACCTATATATTCTCTTCTAGCTGGAGTAAAGTAACACTAATACTGAAAAAAAAGAGGTAATCAGAAGTAGCAAAAGCACTGATATGATAACAAATAATTTGGATAAATAGGAAGTAATATTGCACACTTTCACTGTCAACTGCTTAAGACTTTCGCTCCCAGGCAGTGACAACCAGTCCTGTTTGGTTTGTTTTTTTCCTTGTCACACTACCTCAAAAAGGTCATTTTTGGTTTCCATGGCAGTGGAAAAACAACCCAACAAACTGAAGGAAGACAGCCCTTATTGAACATGAGGTCTGGGTTTCAAAATTAATTTTTCAGTCTGCAAGAAGGGGGAGGGGATAAGTTTAGACACTGAAAGTTGAGCCCAACTTCCATTTTACAGGCTAAGTTTAGAATGACACACAGAACAATACTAAGTATTCTACATTCTAGTTTTACAGACACACAGAATTCATTAAGGTGTATTTATAGAATTGTTTAGGTTGGGAGGGACCTTAAAGCTCATTCACAGTTCCAACCCCCTGCCACAGGCAGGGACACCTTCCACTAGACCTGGTTGCTCCAAGCCCCATCCAACCTGACCTTGAACACTGCTGGGGTGAGGCAGCCAGAGCTTCTCTGGGCACCCTGTGCCAGCACCTCACCATCCTCATAGGAAAGAATTTCTTCCTAATATCTAAGTCTGCCCCCCTTTCATCTTAAAGACATTTCCCTTTGTCCTATCACTACATGACTTTATGGCAAGTGCTGTTTGGGAAAAAAAAAACAACCCAAAAAGACAAAAAAAAAAAAAAAAAAACAAACCCCCAAAAAAACCCAAAACAAAGCAAGCCACAAAAAAACCCACCAAAATTTAGGCAATGACTAATACTTGCATCGTCACAGGACATGTTATATTCTGCCAAAACAGTTCGACCTCAGGCTGCTATACTGTGTGGACTGTGTCAAGGAAAGGAGCTAACGCTGGTACACAGAACAAGTAAAAACCAAAAAAAAAGCAGTATTAGCATAGGCATCAATAATTGTAGTAACTGCAACACCTTTAATCTGACAAACACAATTGAAGGATACATTGATGGTGCTACCACTCTTCTATGTATTCCAGCAAAGAACAAGCTTATTAGGGTAATACACCTAATTGTAAAAAGTGTGTGATTCCGAAATGATATGAAGAATGACACCTAGGAAAGAAATTAGATTAGTCCCACTGCATACTTTTACTTAAAAAAAATATATAAAATAATAATAAAAATATATATACACATATGTATACTGCTCCTAACCATTTGAGTACTTGTGAACTGTTCTTTAGATATGCATTCAAGGTACACATATTGGTAGGCATTATTGTCCCAGGACATATTCCAGAAAAATTCTAGACAGCTCGAGAGCCTAACTGAAAATTATCTCCCAGTTTCAGAGGAGAACCATATTTGGCCTTTCAGTTTTCAATACTATACCACTTGACTGCCACACACTACGTTTGGGATTAGCCTGATCTTTACCTTTTGTGTCTCTGGGTCTATTAACCAGTTCCAGGCACCACTTGCTGTACAGACTGACACCACTATTAGAATCACTGATAAAGAACAAGAGTCATAAATAGTATACCTTCTATCAACGAGCATTTCTTTTTCATCAGCAGCTCTTACACATTTCTTTTCCCACTTCTCAAGGAGGAGAAGTTTCTAGTTGGAAGGTAGAAATGAGACTAGACAAAGAAACTTATTATGTGACACCATAAAGATTCTGTACCAGTTTCCTGGACAGGACAAGTAGGTAACAAAAATATAAATTTTGTCAAGTGAAAACATCCTGATGCTTTGAGGAAACAAAAGTTTCTAAAATAACACAATTAGCAAAAATATGAGTTGGAAGACTGGAGTAAGAGTTGTACCAAACTTTCTGTATGCTCTTTGAGCTTATGCAGTCTGGGCAACAGAAATGCAGCACCAGAGCAGAACTAAAGCATCTATCCCACTAGCGCTTGTGCATCAGAAAAGCCTGAGGCATTAGCAACAGCAGTTTCAGTGACATCTGAGTTGCATTATGCTCTTTACCACAATCAACGCAATTACAAGCAAGGAAAGCCAACACAGAGGAAAAAAAAACCCCAAACACACAAAATTTAAACAGGAGTCAGAAAGCATGATAGCATTAGCACATGAAGATTAACAAAAACCTGTACGCATCCAGAGTGGC